CTGGAGGGGCAGCAATAGTTAAGTCATAGCATATCCATGATTATAATACAGTACAATGTTCTACATTTACTTTTGGCTATTAACTGTGCTTTCCATTAAGGTCTACTAAGATTTCTCAGCTGGTTATTATTTTGCTAAAAATGTGAAGGTCTGTTAGCAAACTTTCATGAATTGAAAGACAGGATAAGAAAATATACCCAGGCTTTCACAGGGATAACAGTGTTTTTGTTTGTTTTTTATATATATTTTGAGTTAGAAACAGCTTCTGTTTAGGATTATATTTTTTAAAAAAAACACCAATATTTATTTTATTACTCATTCCTTCCAAGTACACAGTCCCTCTTGCCACTATTTTATTTTTTTGATTGGCCTAAGGTGAGCCACTCAGCTTCAACTGGGGACTGGCTATTCTCCCCAGTCCGAATGTCATGCTCACTTCTACCAGTACTGACAGCATTACAAACAAACAAACAAAAATGCTGCTAGATAGCTCAGTGGTTTAGGTATCTGGCCGCAGAGCCAGAGGCTGGAAGGTTGATTCCCCCTGTACTTCCTTAAAAGGTGCTAGACTTGATGAATAGGGTCCCTTCCAGGTCTGAAGTTCTGAGTTTATTATGATTAAGATTAGTCTTCTACTGTTTCAAAAACTATTTGGCCACTTGCTTCCTCTCTATAAAACACACCTCATATTGTAACACTTTATGGCCCTGTAATTGTATTGCCTCCATTTCTCATAACTATCAAAGACACAATGGCCTAAATTCATTAGTTAGTCCCATCTAGAGTAGATCAACAGAACAAACTGAACCTTTTTTTACATTAATGTTTATGTGAATTTCACTATTGTATTGGTTTTTCTCCAACTGGGGCTAGTAATCACCCTAAGCAGGCTATTGCTTCTAGAACAAATTGTATGCAATGCAACAATGTGCAACACTTGCATAGTTTGTGGGACATTTCTGCATGAAAACACACACACACACACACACCAAGATCCATGCATGAAGGGAAATAAAGTCTAAGATACTATACAGGTAATGCTGAAAACCTTTTCACAACATTATCATTTTTGGATGCCAGACAAAAAATGAATAACTATGAGATCATTTCTCCTGTTCCTTTCATATTCCCTTTGTTCACACAAGTGTAGCCAGCATTTGGTTTAGCTGAGAGAATTTTAAAATTAGGTCATGTGTAGTTTCTTGTAGCTTTTAGTCTCGTACATTCATTTGTATCTTTCTTCCCATTGCACCCCCAGTGTATAGCCAGGTACCAAATAACAATAAATGAGTCTGTACGGAATGAGACTGTACCCAGAGTCTTTTTGTATGGTTTTTACTAAAGTACCCGTACACTGGTGCACACTGGTAAAACGATATAATCAGATCAATTTCTTTTTTGCAATGTTTTTACTCAATACAGAGCAGTAAAACAACACAAAGCAAAATCTTGAGAGAGTCATGTCTGCCAACATATTTGCTCTTTTCCAGGGTATAATCAAGGATCATAATGAAAATAAAGGCTGATATAAATGGTTCATGCACAGCATTAAAACAAACTTGAAAGACAGAAAGACTGATCATGGAGGATTGACCATGCATGTGCACTTTAGAAAAACAACTAGATAATTTAGAATTCAAAAATCCAGAATAAAACTCAGATGCATGCTTTGTATGGTGACATCCTTAGTTTGATGTTAACACCTGAAGGAGATCCCTTCACTGAAATGGGCAGTGATGTTAGAGGAACCCCTGGATGTACACTTGGAATCCAATTATTTAAAATGTACATATGAGCGAGGGAGATCTGTGCTAAGTAGGCCTCTATGCATGTGGACTTCCCCTACTTAGTCAATAGTCCATGAGTTAACCATGGATCTCAGGTGAAGGGCCCCTGAATCCCATCTCTAATGCCCATTCTCAAGATGACACTGGAGCTGGGTAAGTTTTTATACATGTACACGGCAAGTGCTGAAATGGGAACTATGTGACCTTCAGTCTGTCAATGAAGGGTCCATACATGTGCACAGCAAGTGCCAAAATGGGGAACTATGTGACCTTCAGTCTGTCAATGAAGGGTCCTTCTTTAAATAATTAACACAGGCTTATGCACTTGACTGTAGAATTAAAACTGCTTGGAAACCCTTAATCTGCACCAATCAGTTTTCTATATTGGGGTGGAAAGCACGTTGTCTACTGACTATATATGCTCTCCCACCTATTTTGCTGTGGACAATCTGAAGCAGTGGTCCCCAACCTTGGGCCTCCAGATGTTCTTGAACTACAACTCCCAGAAGCCTTCACCACCACCTCTGCTGGCCAGGATTCCTGGGCCTTGAAGTCCAAGAACATCTGGAGGCCCAAGGTTGGAGACCACTGATCTAAAGGACAGAAAAGTAGTCCCAAGACTCATAAAACTTGCCTGTTTCTTTTTTATGTAAACAAAAGCATTCGTTCTTCTTAGCAAACACAGTTTACTAAACCCCTTAAGATTTTGCTAATTCATATCAATCAAATGTATAAGAATAAATCAGCCACAGCCTACTGAGATCATTTCACCAGATAACAAAACAAATGTACATTCAAGTTTCCAAATATATTTTCCTCTCTTACCTGCTGGTTTACGGGAAAATTCCTGTTGATTTTTTTAATCTACAAGAATGAAAATAGAAATAAATTACTAAATCAACCATGCAACTCAGTCACATGACAAAATAGATGGCACTTTGATATTTTTCGTTTGCAGATTTCTTTGTTCAGCTGATTGAAAAATAATTTGCAAATTAATTCTATCCATATTTTTAAGGAGTTAATTCTGAATGTTCTGAATATTACGTTTTGTCATCAAAACTTTCCACTCCTAAGTACTTACCAAAAGCTATTTCAGTTTACTTGGATTCATCAATACATTTAATGTTGCTGGGCATTAGATCATGTATTTTTCTTTTGAGCATTTAATTGTTCACCTTGCAAACATTGGCTAGAAAGGAGAAGGGGCATATTTATAAAAAGAGAAATACAAAAAACAAAGATCATATTTGATTGAGTAATAGCTTATAGTTGTTTATAACCTTTTTGTGTATATTAATTCTGACTATCTTTAGAAAGAAGTATTGAACAAATAATGAATACTGAACTTTAGCTAATCTTACTTTAACTTTGATAGCTAGCACTATGAGACTGTTATTTGGGACTTCTTCTTGCATAGAATTCAAGGACAATCATATAATTTTGGTATGTGAGGCAGGAATACCACAAGCACCTCTCATCATCTCCCTGAAAAGTAAATATTCAGTAATTACAGATCAATGGCCAAGAAGTGGCTACTTGTTCATGGTGTGTCAAACCATGTATTTGTCTAACAGTAAGGCCAGTCCTTACTCTTATACATAGGTCAGGCTTCAGTTAAAATCTCTGCAGAATATATTATTTGTCCGAAATCCACCCTAAAATCTATGGTTGTTCAGAGAAAAGTGAACAACACTTAATGCAAATTTCATAGCATCTTTTACTATACAATATAATGTGCACGTATTTTGTTTTTTTATTCATTCATTCATTCATTTATTTCATTTATTTATTTATTTCATTTATAACACGCCTATCAGGTCATTGCGACCACTCTAGGCGGTATGCCTGGGAACATTGCTACAGTTATTGGAAAGAATGCACACAACATACCAATTTAATATAAAAGGCCACAGTTTATTGCTTACAGCTGCAAAAGCCTTGATGCAACATGGAGACCAAATCCCAGCCTCAGCCAGGTTGTACACCAACTGATACACCCTCCGAAACAGCTTTCTTGGAGAACCATGCAATGATAGAAATATTGATAGATCAGGGCACAAAACCATCTGTCATTTGCTGTGCAGGCAGGTGCAGTTACTCCACTGCTGGGCATTCCCCTGATAGCCTTCACTCCATGATTCCTTAGGAAGATTTCCTATCTAGAAATCTGGGCACACAAGACCTTTTCTCCAATACTGGATCTTGCGCCATGCCCACAGCTGTAGTGCCATAACCATGTGATGTTGTGACATGAGAGAAGGCACATTATCAGGACCCTGTAAATGGAAATGAAACCCAACTTACTTGGTACAGCACAGCCTCATGCAAGCAATGCTAACAGAGGGATGGCTGGGTACCAGCAATGACTGGTGCTGGGGAGCACCAGCAGGAGTGTTTAAATCCTGCCCATGTGGACCAGAGTAAAAACTACTCCAGCCTGGTCCACGCCACAGACCTTGCCCCTTCCCAGTCGGGCCTACTTCAGTTGGCTGGCCAATGTGTGGGAAAACCCAAAGTCCTCTGGGAGATGGAGGAGGTCCTGTGATCGTCATCAATGTGAGAATGAGAAGGAAGAAATTAATGTTGTACTTAAGGTCACATCTTGACTGTCACAAACTGAGGTGGCACCGAGTCTCCATTGGAAACCCACGCTCATCTGTACTCAACTGGTATCTCATGATGTCAGAACATTTCCAAGCTCTCATTCCATTGGGCTCCGTATACTGAGGTGCATTGTAAAATACTTTACACTCTGAGCATATAAATAGGCACATTAGACTCTGCCTGAATGGCTTGGAGAGTACCAAGATTGTTTCCAACAGCTGAAAGATTGATGGATTGAATAAAACCATACAAATGGTCTGGTGAATACACACAGCTGGGTTCTTTCTTCCAACCTACTGTCGTGTGATCACAAATCACCATTCCAACCAACAGGATATTCCTGGAACTGCTTAGGAGCATCCTAAACCAAAGAGCAGAATATACAACACTTCCAGGAGCCCTGTATCCACTGGAATCCTGGCCATAATCCTGATCCATGTCTATACCAAGACTTGCATGCTTTGCACTTTGGGGTCAGACTTCACAGAATATTAAGAGATAGCACTTCATTAAAAGCTGAAATCATGCTAGTGTTCCAGATTTTAATTCTAGCTGACATTTCTGCCTAAGCTATCCGAACTACAAATGAAGCACAATTTATATCCCATTGACAAAACAAAGCAAGCTAATTTGCAAACAGTGGGAGGTATGAGAAGCTCCTGTTGTGCTACACATCTTTCAGCACTTTGGGAATTCTGATGGTGTGCTCTCTGCGGCCTACAGTTTGACCTTAAGGGAAAAACGAAAACGAGAAAACCTTTTACAGCAATAACCAGAAGTAATGAAATGTCTGTGACTAAGTCCCTAAAATGTGCCAAGGATCCTAGCATCACCACCAGCTGTAAGCAAACAAAAGGCTACAGATAAACAGGAAAGAGACTTCGCTCCAAAGGTCTGTCTCGCTTGTCGGTAAAATGAACACACATTTAACAAGATACAGCTTGACCAATGACTCTGCCAAGAATAACATGAGCTGAAATGTTTTCCCTTTTGAAAAATGAACTTTTTGATGAAGGCAGGTGCAGGGCAAGGAACAAATGCAGAGATGGCAGGTTAGATCCTATTTTAACACGTTCTAATTAAATTGCATTGAAAATGCTTTCCACTTGTCATTTTAAAAATTAGCATAAACAGAGTAGCTCATGTAGTTTGCACGCTTTCTGCCCGAGAATTATTAATAACTTTTGATTTCATGGTCAGAAATATCTTAACTGTGGAATGGTGCCACGACCCATGCATTAGAACATCAGTCGTAATGGGCTTGTATAAAATATTGGCAGAGTGTGGATATAATTGGTTTAAGATTTTTCTAACTATGCAGCATAAAAAAGTTCAGGGATCTATAGAGCAGAATTAGCTTGAAGTTTCTCCTCAGTAGAACACCCTTAATGGTTAGTTCTCCTCAACTGGAACTTAGTGTGTCAAGAACGCACTAAGAGACACTGGTTAGAGAAAAAAATAAAAAGGATTTTGTTTATGCACAGTTCTTCATAGATAAAAATAAATTAATTCTGTAGAAAAAATATGAACTGGTTACATCAACAGAGCTTATTTGAGTAACATGCTTCATGACTGAGTAAGTGACAATCTGCTCTGTCTTCAAACCGTTGGACTAAAAAAGAGTGGGAAAATAATTTTGAAGAGAGAGAGGCCCCTCTACCTAAGTCTTCTTTTAAGCCATAAATGTCCACACTCTGCTAGTATAACGTGAAGAGATGAGTTAAAGCATAGATATTGTATGCAGGCAAAGCTCTGAATCCTCCTCATGCTCTTTGTCTCTCCCAAAGTGCACAAGCTAGACATGAACACAAAAGCTTTGCTGATTTAGAGTAGGGTTTCCCAACCTGGAGGTCACGGGTCACCTTTTGTAGCCCTTGTTAAATAATTTCTTCCTTGACCTTTCCAAGTACCTGTAGAATGCTCTTAAAGTTAGTGTGCATGTGTATGCATGAAAAACAGGTCCTTTGGGGGAGAAAGAATCCTCTACTTTCTGAGAAGGGATGACTTTACTTTATTAAAAATGCCTTTTTATGAAAATGTGGTGGGGGTCTCACAGATTAGTGGGCTATTATAAAAGGAGGTCATGAGTCAGAAAAGGTTGGGAACCACTGATTTAGAGGCATGCTGCCTCTGAGCCTAGGGAGCCAAGTGCGTCTCTTGAAATGGTTGTCTGAATGTTCCTACATTACATCTAGCCTAGTAATAGCCAGAATAAAATAAGAGCTTTCCGATTACATGGAGAAATGTAACAAAGCCATGTTTTTTTGGTTCGCTTGTAACTGTGTAGCTTTCCAGCTACAGGTGCCATTTTCAAACATGGCCAACAGTAGAGGGTGTCTTCAATTAAGCAATTATGTATCTGCCCATAACTAGGATTGTTGCTGATATTAACTAAAACAGTAAACAATGAAGACAAATATGACAGAGTAATTGTTATTAGTTGGATTTCATTATCTCAAGTGAAATATGACAAGTGAGATGGTAGTAGCCAGCTACTGTATTACCAGGTATGCTCTTCTAAGCCCATGTGTATACTCACTTATGTTCAGAAACACACCTATAAGGGATCTTTGAATGTTGGCAACAGTGTGTCACGATGTACATTGGACTGAGTATATCTCATTCACACAGAGCTATGTGTAAGATGAATTTTATTGACCAGAAAAGAATTAATATGTAACACAGATTCACAATAAAGTATAACTAATATGGGAAAATACAAGCTCACAAGAAGCTTGGCTGAGAGGGTACAAAGGAAAGACCTTTCCCTAAAACACATGTGCGTGCACACATGCATGCACGCACGCACGCACGCACACACACACATGAAAGTGGGGTTAGATAGTGGAGCCACCAATGTGTGGGAAGAATACTCCCAGAAGATAGATAAGCAACAAAGATTACCTGTCCTTAGTCTCCTTAGACTGTCTTGGAATTATGGAGGGTTGGAACTCCAGCTGGCAGGAGTTATCACCTGGCTAGTCCCAAAGAAAATGAATTTAGAATGGGCCATATACTAAATGGGGAAAGAGATCTTTTCCAGACTGTCAGAAAATCCTTTTAGCATAGAAACAAAAGGTGATTAAATTTGTAATGACTCTTTGGCTGGGGTATTCATGTACTGTACTTTTAATGGGGTTGAAGCTAAATAGTTGTATTTTCTCTTGGGGCCATGGCTCACCTTTAGACCTTTAAGGCATTTCTTCTCTGCCACTGTTTTAATTTATACTTGTCTTTGACAAGTTTTCCAGTTAAAA